AAGTTAAGAACAATTAGGATAAAAGGTCACTAGTGAAAGCTAGAGATGCAATCAGGTTAAAAAGTATGGAAATTCTTGTACACTGTACAATAATCAATAAGTGGAATGCAATGAAAGAAGAGGTTGAAGTCATTTTCATCCATAATTTCAGAAACAAATGTGACTAAATGTGATTCAATCAAAACGAAATCTATGGGCTGGCATATTTCACTACATAATCAGAAGGAGTAATGTGCCAACTGGGTGTAATAAGTGCACTCCATGAACAGATAAGGAGTATAATGAGGTTCTAAAGAGTACACAAGTGTAATTAACACAATCTGGCAGTGGTAGTAGAGTGGAGGGCATGGGGTAGGGGTAGAGGGGGGTGGTGGATGGTGAAGGGAGGTAGTGGGTGGTGGATGGTGAAGGGAGGTAGTGGGTGGTGGATGGTGAAGAGAGGGAGAGGATGGTGAAGGGAGGTAGTGGGTGGTGAATGGTGAAGGGAGGTAGTGGGTGGTGGATGGTGAAGGGAGGTAGAGGATGGTGAAGGGAGGTAGTGGGTGGTGAATGGTGAAGGGAGGTAGTGGGTGGTGAATGGTGAAGGGAGGTAGTGGGTGGTGAATGGTGAAGGGAGGTAGTGGGTGGTGAATGGTGAAGGGAGGTAGTGGGTGGTGAATGGTGAAGGGAGGTAGTGGGTGGTGAATGGTGAAGGGAGGTAGTGGGTGGTGAATGGTGAAGGGAGGTAGTGGGTGGTGAATGGTGAAGGGAGGTAGTGGGTGGTGAATGGTGAAGGGAGGTAGTGGGTGGTGAATGGTGAAGGGAGGTAGTGGGTGGTGAATGGTGAAGGGAGGTAGTGGGTGGTGAATGGTGACAGTGTGAGGATGGGTTTGATGGAGAATGATGGTGTTGGGTGATGTTATATTGAAGGGGTAATCCAGTGGGTGTGGCGATTGTGGGATTGCAGTGAGTGGAGCAGGAAGGTGATAGGGAGCAGGAGGGGAAAGTGGTGGTGGTGTGGAGGAGCACTACAGAGAGGAATGATTGGTGAGGGAGAGAGATGATGGTGGATGGGTGTTGGAGGAATGGGGCAACAATGGGAAGAGTGCAGGTTGGAGGAGTGATGAGAGAGGCAGTGATAAGGTTGAGGGCTGAATGAGAGGGAAGGAAGGAAAGAAGGAAGGGGAGGAAATAGCTAGTTGTCAATTTTGGTAGTAATGGGACGTGATATTGACAGGAGTGATATAGGTGATAGAACTCTTGAGAGGGTATAAGGAAAGGAGGCAGGGTGAGGGAGTGAGAGGGAAGGTGGTGTGTGAAACAGATGAGGAAAGAAAGAGCATTATAGAAGGAGTGAGATGGAAGAGAGGGAAAGAATAGGGGGGGGGGAGATGGAGAAAATGGAGGTAGGATGAGGAAGGGGGAAGGAAGAGGGAGGTGGAAGGAAGAGGGAGGGAGAAGGAAGAGGGAGGGAGGGGGAAGGAAGAGGGAGGGGGAAGAGGGAGGGAGGGGAAGGAAGAGGGAGGGGAAGGAAGAGGGAGGGGGAAGGAAGAGGGTGGGGAAAGGAAGAGGGCGGGGAAAGGAAGAGGGCGGGGAAAGGAAGAGGGACAGGGAAGGAAGAGGGACAGGAAAGGAAGAGGGACAGGAAAGGAAGAGAGAGGGAGAGGGAAGGAAGAGAGAGGAGGAAGGAAGAGAAGGATGAGGGAGGGGAAGGAAGAGGGAGAGTGAAGGAAGTGAGAGGAGAAAGGAAGAGAGAGTGGAGGAAGGGAGAGAGAGAGAGAGAGGAGGAAGGATGAGAGAGAGGAGGAAGGGAGAGAGAGAAAGGAGGAAGGATGAGAGAGAGGAGGAAGGGAGAGAGAGAGAGAGGAGGAAGGATGAGAGAGAGGAGGAAGGGAGAGAGAGAGGAGGAAGGGAGAGAGAGAGAGAGAGGAGGAAGGGAGAGAGAGAGAGAGAGAGGAGGAAGAGAGAGAGGAGGAAGGAAAAGAGAGGAGGAAGGAAGAGAGAGGAGGAAGCAAGAGAGAGGAGAAAGGGAGAGAGAGGAGGAAGAAAGAGAGAGGAGGAAGGGAGAGGGGGAAGAAAGAGTGAGAGTGCATAGGAAGAGAGAGCAAGGGGAGTGCATAGGAAGAGGGAGAGGGAAGGGAATGAAGATGGAAGGGGGAGGATGAGGAAGGAAAAAGGGAGGAAGGGAGAAAGGAAGAGTAACTGTATATGAAGTGGGAATAAGAAAGATGGGGAAGGAGAGTGGGAAGCACGATAAGAGTTAATGTGACCCCACTATGTAGTAGTCTTGGCTGGAGGGAGTGGAGAGTTGCCACACTAGCCACCTAAAGGTTCTACCATCCAAACTACTACTGCTAATTTAAATCTTCACAATGTAAGTACTGTATGTGTGTCATACTGATATTTTCAACAACTATTCTCACACACAAATCAGGAGAAACATTTTGTGAATTTTAACGATGATAATAAGGAAGGCCATTTGAAAGAACACATAATTTGCAGCTATTAAATACAATACCAATGAACAAAATAAAGATAATTGTATTGCACTACTAGTTGCCACTCTCTTAATACTGTAAATAAATAAAACCGTAAAATACTTAGAATCTTTTGGAAGTTTGACCTCACCCGATGGTGGTGACCACCACCATCTTCACCTCACATTAATTTCTTCTTTATTTGCAGATAGCATGAATATCTCTTGTAAGATTTCAGAGAGAGCTAACACGAGAAACATAATACAGGCACTGTATTCACTCAAATCTACTAGACTTTGTATTTCTCTAGAGTATAGGTTAAGTAATTATTATAAGTACAGTACCACAAGAGGGGCACTTTGATCAAAAGCTACACAGTGTTCATTACATTACTCAAAGCCATTTAATGACAACATAACTAAGATACTGACCCAAACTAAAACCCTTACCCTCAATATCAAATATATACCTATCTATATACTGTACAGTACTATATAAATATTTCACCAATTGGTCAAAAGGTTGAAAATATATACTGTATATGGTAAATTGCACAACACTAAAAAAAAATAAAACATAAAAAAATTAAAGTTGTATAATACTATATTTACAACTTGCATCATCATTATGTACTGTATGTACATACATTAATATATTACATGATGCAAATAATAATGCTGTCTATACTCAGTAACTTGTATAATATGGGGCCTACCCCCCATTTGAGTTAGCTGACTTTTTTCTGGGAATGTTCAAAAATGAAGAAATTAACATATATTCAGGTTTCTCGTTATAGAGAGAAATCCCAGTAACCCATATTTCTAATCCAGTTGGGAAGTCAGGCACAAGAACTCCAATTTATTTCTATTGATCATTCAGCAGAAATCGCAGTACCCTAAATTTCTATTTGAGTTCGGAATTCAAACTCAAATTTATTTGGGTTACTTGTTAAATATAATCTTTAACTTGAATTGCTATTTGTGTTAAAATGTAAGAAAAAGGGGGTTAAGAAACTAGAATGTGAATTCATTCTGATTACTGTACTGTACTTGGAGATTCAGGTTATCGGAATCCTAAATACCAAACTCTTACAGTAGTGTACGTACTGTACAGTATATACAAACTAAATTTGACCCAATTATCTTTTATCATTTCTTAATATATTAAAATAAAAGACTAGCAAAAATCTTGCTAGGATAGCAGTTAAAAGTGAACTAATGAGAGCATGTGATGGCATCAGGTAATATGTGTAGACATTTTCATGCAACTACACCTAATTTATTTTTAATATTGCACAAGATCTCCCAACTCATCAAAGATAAATTGGTTCTAAACTGACCAACAGGGGACAACAAAGCCCAATTACAAAAGAAACCTTCATTTTATCATCATACATGTGTGTGTTAGACCTCAAGTTGATACACAAAGGTGTTCTTATGATAAGAGAAACCACAACAAAAAGCATAAAACAACTGTACCAGGGCTAATATTAAAATGTGCACACAAGGTACAAAAGCCATTTGCCACATTGTCGAACAAAACTTTGACAAAACATAAAACCTAACCAAAAAATTTACCAAAATGTTAATCTACCAAAAAAAAAAGAAGGAAAGTAAGCGAGAAATATTATGTCACAAACAAAGACCAAGATGAATCAACTAAAAGAGAAAAGTACTTCACTTTTAAAAGAGAACAAAATAATATATAAGATCCTCCATGCTATATTCTCAGCAATTTAAATAGATTATTACTGCACTTTTGCTTTTTCACAAGCAAAATTAATGCATCTTTTAAAAAGCTTTTCTCTTAAATGTTCAGCCTATCATTTCAATAGCTTATTGCTCCATAAATAAATGTACTTCTCCTAAGACATGTCCATATTTCTTAGATTACGTTCCATGATTAAATGTGATTTGTGTTTTCAATGCATATAGTGCTTTTCCTTATCTGAATAATATATTACAATCTATTAGTCATTTACCATTAGTACCAACTGCATGGGTATGACTGGTTCATACCATATAAAACACACAATTACATAATCTATGATTAACAGTTCTTATCTACTCAATACCACTGGCAACTACTTTATGACATTCAAGAAGAGGGACTACAGGAAATTTATATACTAATACAAAAAGCATTTCCCAACTTCATACAAACAAAAATAGTCTGGCCAAGTATCTTGCAACATTTAAAAATTATATAATAATAACTAAAAAGAGTAATTGGAGACATACTGATGTTAAATCTTAATTAGTTCTGGAATAACTCCTAGAAAAAAAAGAGCAAAAGAAATACATAGCCCAATTCCAACACATTATAATTGCAAATACAGAACCAATATCCTTTATCCATGCAAACATATACAGCACTACACATAGCTAAAATCCTTTAGATTCTGTGTACAACTGCAACATTGCAAATCAATCTTCTATTATTCATTTACATAATTTATGAAAGAAGTTTTTCCAGACACCAGAATGTATGTTGAGGAATGCTTTTCATGCAAAATTTAGCTCGTGCAACAAAACCATGACTCACTTATAGTTGCGTGGACCGAGGACGGGGTGTGATTGGTGGATGAAGTGGTTGAGTTTGACTGAGGGGGTTTACGGCTCTCTCCTTTACTCCCCCCTTGATGAGGTGGTGGTGGTTGTTGCTCATGTTGATCATGTTGCTGCTTTTGTTGATGCTGAGACTGTTTCTGTCATGGCAACCATTATGATAAATCCCAACTCTAATTGCTGCAGTTGCTGATTTTTTGTTACGCATGACATGAGACTACATCTGTGCCAAAAACACAAAACCTGATAAGTCTGGATTCTAATATATGTGATTTCATCAGGTTCTGAGTTTTAGGCTAAACATCAAAATAGCATTAATTGCCTACACATATACTGTACACTGAGTAATACATACAGTGACTGAAAATTTAAATAAAATCTGTTTTTGAAAGCAGGGAAATATATAATTTTCTATTTTTTTTTTTTGAGTTATTGAATTAGCTGCCCATGTTGTGTGTTCATATGGTCCCAAATCATGCATGCATGTACCACTAATACATTTTGTTGTATTCAGTATTTTAGCTCTAAAATAGAGCACATGTATTTCTTTTTCTTTATTGCAATCAAAGATTCCTCAACATTTCTGGTGCCTATTATCTTTAAAAGTACAATAAACAATCCTCCATCCATTCTAGCACAAGTCAATCCATGGGTTCTCACATTACCTAGAAAGAGGGACATTTCCCTGCTCTCAAAAAGCAAGATTTCCCTCACAAGCTGCAAAAGAATAAACAGGTATTCTACCTTACGTACTTCATAGAACTGCTCCATGAAGGCTCTTTTAATGTAAGGAATACAACTGAGTAACTTTTAAAAGCTATTTCTTGTCATTATTTATAAGCAAATCTGTAATGAGTGGATATAGAGAATTAAAAGAAGGATAAAAGAGGTCAAGAAGAGGGAAGACTAGATTACATAGCAAGAAAAATAGAGGGAAGGATAAGTGAGTGTAAGAGAAGCACTTGCAAGGGGAAGGTAACTGGAAGACATAAGAAAGTGTAGGTGAGAGAATAAATTATGAGTGACAAGAGGGAGGGAGGAACAAGCAGTTAGGCAGAAAAAATATGTATGGATGCACAGTATACAAGAAATAGTTTTGTTTATATTAAGCTGAATTAAAAAATGCATTTTACAAAATAATCCAATAAGAGGCATTTTAAGAGTATCAATATTCTATGAAGTACATGATGGAAAGTAATGCCATTCTGATAATTCAAAGGAGCATTATAATAATAAATCAATATATTCTATATCTTAAACTAAGCAGAAATTTTGCTTAAAATAATTCATTCAAAACTTACTTACCACAAACTTAAGTACAGTAACTAAGTTATTGAAATTGATGATTTTCACCAATGCTTCATGAGGTGATATTTCTACTTAATATGTTTGTGAAATATTTATATATATATATATATATATATATATATATATATATATATATATAATATTATAAATATATATATATATATATATATATTATATATATATATATATATATATATATATATATATATATATATATATATATATATATATATATATATATATATATATATATATATATATATATATATATATATATATACAGTGGAACCTCGAATAAAGCATTTAATCCGTACCGGCACCAAGCTCGTTATGTGAAACGCTCGTCTTTTAAAACGAATTTCCCCATTTAAAATAATGGAAATAAAATTAATCCGTTCTACAACCGAAATACATCAATATGATATTCAATGTTTTAAATAATGGAGCAGCCTACCTTACATACACTGAACAAACCCCTATGACATTTTTCTTTCTTCAAATTTGTTAAAAAAAAAAATTCATTTTTTGTATAGCAAAAGGTTCGTTCGGTGTTTGTTAGGTAGGCTGCTCCATGTTTCTTAACTTAAAAAAAAACAAAAAATTAAAAAACAGAACAAATGTCAAAGAGGAAAAAAAAAAAAAAAAAGCAAATGCCACAGGTTCGTTCAGTGTTTGTCGGGTAGACTGGTCAATTATGATAATCTTTCTTTGTTTGAAACGTGTTCCATTTGTTTTTCATTTTTCATTTATTTCTCAAGAATGGAGCAGCCTACCTGACAAACACCGAATGAACCTTTTTGACATTTGTTCTGTTTTTTAAATTTTTTATTTCTTTTTTTCTACAACAAAGTTGATGCTTTGCAACATCACAGCAGTCACCCCTTTACATTCCAGCATCATTAAACAAAAAGAGATCATTTATTTGCATTTATTTATCGTCGGAGGCGTCTGAGAATGTGCGATAAGCAGCGCGACCCCACCATGTGATGTTGTCATTATTCAAACGAGCGTTCGCCAAACGATGCGAATTGTCGGCGATCGGGGAGCTCGTTACCCAAATTGCTAGCCAAATTGAGGCGCTCGTCACTCGAGGTTCTACTGAATACATATAACTATTAGTACTGTATATGAGTTTGTGATATTGTTACTGGGTATGTGAGCTGTGATGGTGTAAAGGTTAATTTTACAGTAATTCAGATAATATTGTATATACAATATAATAAATAAATAAATAAATAAATATATATTTACATACACACACTGTACTATATATGTACAGCATATATATATACAGTATGTAACTAATTATGCTCAATATAAAAATACATTATAAAAAGTACATCCTTTACACCATCAACTCTTTCTCACACTTATGAAATACTTAAGGTACATTGTTCATAAATCATTTTCTAAGATGAAGTGGTTAACTAAAGGGCTATGGATTACACAGGAATATGAAATCTAGAGCTCTGAAAGATGAACAAAGGAAAATACTCGGTGATGCTAAATGATAACCTAATGAATGCACTGAAAATGTTAAAGCGTCAAGTAGTGAGGTGTAATTCATTTTTAATTCAATATTACTGTACTTTGAACAAATTTATAATTACAGTAACTATAATGAATTATTAGGCAATATTATAATAAATTAATTATGTTTTGATAGCAGCCGATCAGGAGAAGTATCCCCAGACATCATATCCTAAGATACAATTTTTTTAGTAATAAGAAGAAGGGGTTGAATAATTACAAGATGCTGTAATAATGAGTAGATGGGTGTAATAGTGTTGTAGTGGTGGTGGCAGTTGCTGTGGTAATAGTAGTAGTGGTGGTGGTAGCAAGAACAATGGTGATGGTGGTGGTGGTATGATAATGACTATTGTAGTGGTGGTGCTAACCTATCCAAGCACTTTATTCCTGGTCCAAATTTTTTTTTCCTAACCTGATGTTCAAGTTCTGTATCATATTTGCTCTTGCCAATGGCTTCCAAAACTACTGCTTACATGTTTCTTTGACTCATTTGCATTTTCAGTTTCCGCAGTATGTCTTATTGTCCTGTTATATCTCAATTTAAAAAGACTTTGTCCATCTTGTCTAGTCATCGTAGTATTGTGTATGGAGTGATTGTATATCCTCTGCTCCTTCTCTCTAAGGTTGTGAGCTTGAGTTTCTTTAACCTGTCCTTGTAGCTTAGTCTTCTTAATTCAAAACTAATCTTTTGCAAACATCTGAGCTTCTCAACTTGCATTTTGTGCTGCTTGATGTCTTGATTCCATGCCTGTGTTGCATATTATAGTACTGGCCTCTCATTAGCTATGTAGCTGGTCTTGAAAATCTCGTCTTTAAATTTTTAAATATTATTCTTATGTCTGTCAGCTTTCCACATGTTGCTGATGTGGTCGTGTTTAGGCATGGTTCTAGTGTTATACCCCTAACTATATTTCTACCCAATTTTTTTTTCAAATTTTCTATCTTGTAGTTGCTTTTCTCTTATAGTGTTGATTCCTCTGGTCATCTATCTCCCTTTCACACATTCATCACTTTATACTCATTGTGGCCGAAAACTAAAAGCCATTGGTCTGCCCACTTCTGGAGTTTGTCAACATGTGCACCCTCACTCTCACGTAGATCATTCACAAAAAAAATAGGATATCTTGAGGTTATTTTGAGATGGTTTCAGGGCTTTAGCGTCCCCGCGGCCCGGTCCTCAACCAGGCCTCCCTTTTTTTACACACGCCTTGGGAAGCAGCTCGTAGCAGCTGTAACTCCCATTTACCTATTTACTGCTAGGTAACAGGGGCATCAGGGTGAAAGAAACATTTTTGCCCATTTGTCTCCGCCTCCACTGGGGATCGAACCTGGAACCTCAGGACTGCGAATCTGAAGCACTGTTCACCCAGCTGTCGAGCACCCCAAATGCTTCTGGGACCTTCTGGGGAAGCGATAAGCATTGTTTCTGGGACCAAACACCACCTCACTTGCCCTGACCCTTTGTATTCTGCTTATCAGTACTCCCTTACCCAATTCAGTGTCTTTCCAGTTTTCCCAATTTGTTTCTCCATTTTACAAACCAGCTTTTAGAATCGAATAACAAAAATTTAAAAACTTTGAGAAGTTTGGTACCATCCAGTGACCTAACAGATAGTACCATATCAATACGTGTATAGAGCAGCTTCAGGAAGCCACAAGCTCCCCCTTGGAAAATACTGTTTATCCAGTCTTTCTCCTGTCATATTTCAGTGACTTTAAACTCATGTCATAACTCATCAAATTTCATCAAAATCTCATAACACATCAAATTTGCAAGGAATTACTTTTTCCCTTTATATCCATGTTACCCCTTTGTTTCAAGGTTTATCTTTTTAAGGTGCTCAACTATTTTTTTCTGATAACGGTATTGTACTTCATACAGTACTTTGCAAGGAATGTCACTAGTGACTACTTAATAGTTTAGTGCCTTGTCTGTTCTTTTTAAAAATTGGATTACATAGGTGTTTCATTACGAATGAAGAAGGCACCACAGGAGTCAGGATGGAGAGGAGACACCCAGCACAAAGCCACACAAGGACGCCGAGGTCCAGGAACATCGACCAGATACCGGGCTGCCAGAACCTTGTTCGACCTCCAAAATCCCCGCAGCCAAATATCAGCCCAGGGCATGTTTATGAACACCGCCAACAGAGTGGCATATTTCTGAACATCACGGGCATGAGGGTAGACCACAAGCTGGCTAGACTCAATAACACCGTGGACTTGAGAATGATGAGTCTTGGAACAGAGTCGGGGCCAAGGAAAGAAAATCAACCCACAAGGCATCCACCAAAGCACAATC